AAGAGAGAAAAAGGATAAGAGGGAAATATATATATATAGACTGTATACATGTATAAAAAGTCATATATAATTATATACATATAAATTTTTTCAAGTATATATCAAATATCCTTATAAATTTTAAAATAAATGTTTATACAAATATATAATAATTTGATTTAAATTTACCTATTTTCTTGAGGATTCTCTACATGCAATCTCAATTGATTTTTGGCCTTTTCAATACATAAAGAATTTTCATAATGCAGCTCCATTTTGCAATTTCCTGCATTAAATATTTATCAATATCGTATTTACTAGGTGCCATGTCATCGTACATGTGTTCTCTACACGTTTGAACAGATTTTTTATGTTTTTACTATTGTCTACAATTAGACAAAAAATATCTTTCTATTAAATCATTTACAAGGCTAAGTAAATACACAAATTATATAATATACAAACTACTCGTGTTATTTAGTACTGTTTAAATGTACTTCTTAATATGTATATTTTTTATGTAATTTATTTCTTTTTTAAATATTAGGTCATAAATGTTACATATGCATATATAATAATAAATAAAATTTTAATTCTGTACAACAGTATTATGTAATGCACGTGTTTGTAATTGAAAAAATTTTGATATATTACATTACATTCTTTAAAAATGTAAAAAAACTCAATTATTTTTATTAAAATTGATTTGTAAATAAGATTTTTGTTTGTGCTTAAAAATATATCACAGTAAAACGGTTTAATTATCATATTTTTCTTTTTGTGTAATATATTTTTAAAATAAATCATAAAATTAAATTAATTTGCTTATATTTTAAGTTTTATGTTATATAGTATACTAAGATCGTTTGTAAATAATTATTCATATTTATTCTGGTTATATTATTAGTTTATTAAAAATGGTTTTGTTCACATAAATTTACTGTTGTATATTTAGTTTTATCGCATGTCTCATGTTAGGTGTTAAAGTGCTTTATTATTTACTTAACAATTTTTTAAAATTAACTTTAATTATATATGATTAATTTATTTACAGATACTTGAAAATAATTGTATTTGTTATATTCATAAATTTTCAAATGCAGATTTCAGAGTTTATTGCATTTTAAATATTAATTCAACCGATTTTTAGACCGATATTATTTTCGCCTATAGCTTTACAGGGGAGTTAAAAGGGAAGCACGCAAATCAAAGATTTAAACCAAAGATACTATTTCTAATTATCGAAAAAATTAATTTTCGCAAATAACAGACGTAAAAAACATCGCGTAAGACTCTACAGCCGATATATATATATATATAAATGATATGTTAAATATTAATGTAAGAGAAATAAAATACTTAATTTTTTATTTTAAATATTTCTAGCAACATCAATATTTATTACGTTTTGGATCCCCTAAATGTAAAAAAATTTATCGATATAATTTAAAATACCTCGAATACTTCTGAAGTATAGAGTCCAGAATTAAGAAATGGAATAATATTTGACATGTATTCCAAAGCTTTAAAATAGGATACCATGCCACGTAATCTTTCTCTTGCCATAAATAACTCGAGAGTTCCCAAAATGTGAAAATTAAGTTTCCCCTGTATCATTAGATGGAATGAGTCATCGATGATTTGGGCTCGATTCAGAACAGTATATTTGTATACTGTTCAGATTTAAAGTAACGCGCAATTAATTTCCAATTTTCGTCATCATAATTGACGCGATAAATCCTGTACACATGGCAAAATTTTAATATTTACTTTTTTGGTCCCAAATATATGGAGTAAAAAATATTCGAATATATATGTCTCTTTTTTCTGATAGTTTAAGGACGTATTAATTGTACTGGAAATTGGGCACATATTTTACAATAAATAATGGCAAATTCTTATATATTGTTAATTATAGAAAAAAATGTCGATAATTAAAAAAAGAATAGAGTTCTGAAAAACAGATTAAACTAAAAGGAATTATATAAACAAAACTGATTATAGTTAGAAAAGTAACAATAGTTAAAATTATTTTCATTATTTTAAACTAACCAAGGTGTTTCTTATATTTATTGTATAATAACAAAATACGAACATATTGAATTTCGTGATTTAATATTTACCAATTTGTTGTAAGTTGAAAATTATCCATTTTTTTTGGATAAAAGAACTGCATTTCCAACTTTGGATTTGAGGGCGTCAAATAAATATGTGAACCAGTTCATTAAAATTGATACTTGCTTCTTCAGTAATGTGACAGGTATACAATATGGATTCTGATCCATGTCGACCTGAAACTCTAAGAATATTTTCGTATTATTTCTAGAATATATCGTGTAACATTTAGCACGGGATAATGCTGCTGCATAGACCAAATAGCCATAATCTTTTTTATGTCCAAATATATTTTTCAAGATTTAATTTACTCATAACAATCGGCATAATGCTCCATAAATCATTGAAAGTATTTGCCATATCAGGAGAAATAAATCTGTAAAATTTAAAAATGTGATAACACCATACACCACTGAGTAGCAATTAAAAATATGTATAAAATTATGATAATTATTCGTTCTTATTGATATTGCTAGAATAATTCACTTAGATTAATGTCGATTCTCACGAAAATCAAATTATGATGACATAAAGAACGAATAATAATTTGTATACACACATTGTACAAATAATTTACTTTTCCATAATATAAATATAAATAAATAAATAGCATTAAAAATGGATACACGTGTTTAAGTGTATTTCGTAAATATATTATTTTAATATTTATATTATGTTTGTTATATTTAAGAGACCTTAAATACATTATTTAGACATTTATATGAATATTTATATACATTATATGTTTTTATTACGTTTATCTCTGTCTTTATTCATTTATTAATTAACGAAGTAATAATAATTTGCAATATTTAATATTTTCTATTTTTTTATGTGTTTACTTATTTTGGTTCATTGTAGTATTATGTTAAATATATTTTTATCCTGTTCATATTTTTATTTTTTTAGGTTATTTTTTTGTTCTTATTTGCTTTAATGATGTAATAATCTATATTAAAGCTTTATTTTGCAAATGAAAATAATTTATCTATATATAACAAATTTAAAATTACGACTATCTGAAAATTTTTATTAGATTTTAATTGTTTCTAAATTGCTATTAGAACTTTCCTGTATGTGTGAATTTTTAATGATAATAACACTTATTACAGCTAAAATTATTTTAAACCAATAAATCATTTTTTTTAAATCTTAAAATAAAATAAATTTATTAGTTTTATTCTAAATAATTGAGATTTAATGTGTAAGTGTGCGATATTTTTAGATTTTTTTTTTTTTAATACAGTTATCTAATAATCTGATAATATCATATCAGGGGGGAGGAAGATGAACATAGTTCATACCCTATAATACACATTATTTGATTTCAATATCTTACTTTCAGTCGTGTTGAAACGGATTTAAGTACAGAGTTTTGCTGAAATTCCAAATAGCGTTATTCATATTTTCAAAAAAATCTCAAATATCTAACAAAAAACCATTTTTTGTATATTAAATCTCAATTATTTCGGAAACCTGACGTACTGGTAAAAATTCGTTTACGTCATCGTTTTCAGCATAAAATCGTTTCCATAACTTTATAAGATTTTCGAAAATTGAAAGAAACACCATCTAAATGAGAATAATAAAAGAAAATATTTTTTGAAACTAATATTATTATATTACATAGTAAGTATTACTTACTTCCTGTTAAATATTCGTCAATACTCGTCCAAAATACGATAGATGGAATTATTCTTTCTAACATGCGCCAAAAGCTGCTCCTATAATAAAGATATGACTATTAAAAAAATATTTATATATACACATTTTATTTACAAATTCAACCCCCATCATATTCATAAATTCATAACAGAACTACTATAAACTAATATAATAAAAAAAAGAACTAATTTTAAATTTAATTTGCTTTTATTTTAGCAGACTAAAATAAGAAAAATAATTGTAAATTTAAAACTTTTTTCTCTTTTCTTAGATATTTATAGTCAGCCATTCCAACTATTGTTTACAAATTATTTACAAATTTTATTAATGTATTTGTAAATATACTTTATACCAGTCCAAATTACGTTTTACATAAATCAAATACACATACCAACATACCTACAGTATGAGAAAAAGGAGAAGGTGAATTAATTTTAAATATATAGTTAGAATTTTCCTTAAAATAATCTACAGCAAATGGATGTAAATAATGAGAATCATATCGAATTTGAACTACAAACAAGTCCATCATCCGAGAACCTGGATATATCTGCAGAAAGAAAACGAGATTCGATAATAATGTTTATTAATGTGAACAATTATTGTTATTTCTAGAAAAACCTTTTGTTTTTAATAAATGCTTTTGAATTATTTAAAACATTTTTATATTAGATATTATAATTTTAAATAATTTTATAGAATTTTCATGAGTAATATGTAATAATTTGAAGTAACAATATTATTACAAATATTCCAGTACATATACTCTCCACAAGTTTGTAAACATCTTACATTTTACAGTTAAACAATTTTATGACAGCGATTTGTCATAAATAAAAATGTTATTTAATATTTTACGTATTTCCGTATGGAGGTTAAAGGATTATTGAAATTAAATCTCAATATGAGATTATTTCATATTTTAAAATCTTGGCAGTGACCAGTAAAATTTGGTGCCTTGTGCACAGATATAATCCTAACGAAAAAATTTAGTTTCGTTGGGATAACGCACTGTCTTCCGCGATCGGCTCTTATCGCCTGTCTTATACTTTAAATTTATATTTATATGACAGAGCCTTGTTAAACTCTTAACTTAAATATTTTATAATATAAGTATGCTGTCTTCTAAGCTGGGCAATAGAGCCAAGGAAACGAAAGAAAAATTATTAAACGGAACTGTATCTCAATTTGAGATCCCAAAGTTCCACATATAAATTAATTTCGAAACTTACATATGGAGAATAAGCGAGAAAAATATAGGTCCGAAAAGTCGCTGAAGCGGCTGTATTTCGTATCGAATTTGACGGTGATGTTAAAAGTTGCTTTTAATTTGGGTCGTCCCAACACGGAAATAATTGTCGAGCATTTCTCGGTTGAAGTAAAGTTGCGAATAGAAACCTAAATTTTAAAGTAAAAAGCTTTAAATTATAATAACAACAAGTTTCTGCAGTTGTTGTGTAGGAACGTTAAAGATTGCAGAATGTACCAGAGAAATTTATAGATAATATTTAAAAAGTATATCATCAGATGTTTTCTGTTCTAATTGTAAGTATAATAATACAAATGATCTAGATGAAATTTGATGTCAGCTTACTTTCATATAACTAATAAAAATATATATTATCTATATCTATGCACCTTAGTTGAAAATAATGTTATCCCTATTTAATTATATCTAGAATAATGTTCAGATAATTTGATTTAGAGACCTAGCACACACACACACACGCACGCACACGCTCACGCACACGCATACGCACATACATATATATACTCATCTAGTAGTAAAATTTAAGCAGTGAGCCACAGAAACGTACAAATAAAAAAATGAATATATTTTATATACTTCTTTATAATTTACATTGTTTTTTATAAGCTGTATAACTATTTACATAAGCGATTTTAAAAATAATGTTATCTAAATGATTCACAATATAACTTTATCTTTTATCTAGATATATATAAATTCAAAATAACATTCATCTTATCTAATTTTTATCTCACTTTTATCTAGATATTTTAAAATCATCTAAGTATACTACAACATTGTATATCATATATGTGTATATAAATATTAGCGTATTTTTATTATTTTATGTTTACTCATGTATTATTTATTATATAATACTTTTATTATTTCAATATACTTACTCTTTATCTCTTCTATCTTCTCTTTTTATATAGTACATTCCATAATGCCGATGAACAAATATGATTTCATATTTCACGTACATTGTATAAACTCCACAATCTAAGTGTGTATTTTCAGGCGATAAATATTTAATGAAATTGAAAGTAGCAAAATTCTCCGAATAATCAGAATTTGGAATATAGATTGTTCCATTAGGCGATCTAAACATCATTATAAGCATGGATCTTGTAGTATGTAGAGTTATATTTGATATTTTACAATTAATATAAAAAGTGACATTCAGCTCGCCACTTAGTAATTTTCCTGGTAACATTATCATGTCCAGATTGTAATGAATCGGCATTATACAGTTGTTGTTCAATGAATTACGGTAATTAGGTACGCTATGGCACTTAATTTTTGCGTTTTCATTGGTAAAAGTAGCCATTGTTATTGCAGTAATGTATACTAATATATTTAATGACCATTTTAAAACATTATGTTGGCTTTTAAAAATCTGAAAATATAAAATAATTTTTGACATACATATTGACAACAATAAAAAAAATTATAGCGATACCATACATTGAAAAAATCTCGGAATTAGTAGCATCAGAGTTAAAGAAATCTAATATAACAGTAGGATACAGAAGTTTGAAAAAATTAAATAGAGTCATAAAAACACAAACAGACAAAGATAATTGTCAGAATAATTCGGGTGTCATATATAAAATATCGTGCAATAATTGTGATGCTACATATGTAGGGCAAATTAAAAAACAATTAGGCACAAGAGTAAATGAACATAAAAATAATATCAGATTAGATTCTGCAAGACAGGTGGTTTCTGATCATATTGTAAAGTTTACACATACTTTTAATTGGAACAACACAAAAATCTTGGATCACGAAAGGAATTATATAAAAGGTTGATATCAAAAATGATATACATTAAAGAAAAAAAAACAGTATCAACTTAAAAAGGACATCGAGCGGCTTGACGGTTCTTATTTTGATATTTTAGAAAATTGTCTATGTCATCTTAGCATAGCGGTGTATATACAGCGTCCTGACATTGTGATTTATAGATATTGAGTTTGCTTTGTATAAAGTACACATTGTTTATAATGTTTTTTAATAAGAAATATTTTAAAGAAGTTTTATTGTCTTGACATGGATGTAAGTGATCACTATTTATTTAAAAATCTAATATTTAATATTCAGGCTAACATATTAATTATTTCACAGCTTATTACATATTATTACATCAGAGATTACAAAATTAGACTTTTATTCAAAAAGAACTACAGAAATCTGATGTTCGACATTAGGCTCTTTAACGACTAATTCGAACGATCAGCCGTAATTCAAACCAACAAGTATGATATGTTATACTGCGTTTTTTCATAAGTCTATATATTTTACATATATGATAAGTTCTGTCTTTCCAAATTGTTACATAGTTACATGTCTTTTCAAAATAAGCGCGTAAGCATGACATCGCGTTTAGGATAGGAGAGCAAGTGGTATGGCGGGGGTGACAATGTGCGATGTATATATACACGCGTATCGGCGGATTCGCTCTCTTGTATCCTCTCGGGCACAGCGTAAGAAACACACACACAGATAGCTGAGTTATACGAACCACAGGAAATAAAGCGATTGTAAATTTAGTGTATACGTGGCAGTTACTTATTGAACCCCTTTTCCAAGCGGGAATACAACAGTTGGCGACGAGGATGGGATACCGCACAGGAAGTTAAGAGAAGAGTACATTACCCTGCAAAGAAGGACACGTGCGTGTTACAGTGAGTGCCGAGTATTTTTTTTTTTTTTTGCGGACTACAACTCGGTACTGCGGATTCTGCCATGGCTGAAGCAATCGTGCATGGAAGTTTCGCAATAGAAGCTTTCGATCCTGCCGTTACAAATTGGAAGCGTTGGCTAAAACGTTTTGAGGGAGCCGTTACAGTGTTCAAGGTTCCGGAACCACAGAAAGTGGCGTACCTACTACATTTCATCGGAAGTAAATCTTTCGATATATTATGCGACAAGTTAGCACCTCTCGACCCGTACACGCAGACGTACAACACAGTCGTATCACATTTGCAGGATTTTTACGCCCCTGCACCGCTTGAAATAGCGGAAAATTATCGATTCCACCAAAGGAAGCAGTCCGACGGAGAGAGCATACACCAGTACGTAGCAGCATTACATAAGATGAGCATAAATTGTAATTTTGGAGGATACTTAAAAACGGCGTTGCGGAATCAATTTGTTTTCGGGCTTACAAGCCGGCGTACACAAGCAAGGTTATTGGAGACAAAGGATATAACTTTCGACAAGGCAGTCGAAATTGCCCTTTCAATGGAATTGACGGAGAAGGATGTAAACCAAATTCAGGCAGCGGGAGTATCATCCGTGGACTACGTGGGCCAGAAAGAAGCAGCAATGGGGAAGAAGGACAAACGGTCACAACACAAGAAGCCAACAGTAAACAGACCAGCTGTTTTCCAGAAAGCAAAGCGTGCCATACAGGACGTTCCAAATTATAATAATACAAGCGGTATAAATAGCGTTACATGTTATAGATGCGGAGGTAAGCATTTAGCTTCAAAATGTACATTGAATAGAGAAATCGTGTGTTCAAATTGCAGCATTAAAGGCCATTTAGCAAAAGTATGCATGAGAAAGAATAGAGCAAAGGCGCATCAACTAAGCGACATTTTATGGATGAGTACGGAACATATTAAGCATAGAGATAGGTATTTTATTTCCGTAGATATAAACGAGAAAAACGTGCGTTTCGAAATAGACAGCGGAGCGGCGGTTACAATTGTTAGTAAATATTTTCTTGAGCGTTGGTTTCCGGATGCACAAATAGAGAACACAGATTTGAAATTATTTACATTTTGCAAAACAACAATTACGGTTGTAGGTTACGTAAAAGTACAAGTACGTTACAAAGGAATTATCAAGTCATTAAATATGTACATTACAGTCATGGATAGAGAACCACTCATGGGACGGGAGTGGATTCGTCAGTTAGGCGTACAATTGACCGACACAGTATTTACGTTAAATTCAAATACAGGAACGGAATTACATAAAATTCTGCGCGATTACAAAAACGAATTGGATCCTTCAAGCACAAAAATCAAAGGAATACAAGCGCGACTTATCCTAAAAGAGAACGCGAAACCAATTTTTCTTAAAGCAAGGAAAGTACCATTCAAAATAATACCTTTAGTAGATCGGGAGATCGATAGACTCGTTAAAGAAGGAGTTTTACAAGAAACGAGCGCGGCAGAATGGGCGACGCCGGTCGTGCCAGTCTTAAAGAAAGACAATTCGGTGAGGCTCTGCGGCGATTTTAGCGTGACGGTAAACAAACAATTACTAGTAAATGAATATCCGTTACCTACAGTAGACGAACTTTTTAGTACTCTATCGGGAGGCCAAAAATTTTCAAAGATAGATTTGAAGCAGGCCTATTTACAAATGGAAATTCATCCCGCGGATAGAGAGTTATTAACCCTAAACACACACCGGGGATTATACAAATGTACGCGTTTATTATACGGGATCGCTTCGGCGCCGGCAATCTGGCAGAAAGAAATCGAAACTGTACTGAAGGGCATTCCGGGCGTCTCTGTTTTCTTAGATGATATCAAAATTACAGGTCCGAACGACCAAGTGCATCTGGAACGACTTAAGGAAGTACTTACACGTTTAGCGAAATTAAATATACAAATTAATAAGGAGAAAAGCGAATTTTTGAAAGAAGGGATACATTATTGCGGTTATTACATTGATAAAAAGGAATTCATAAAGAAAAAAGGAAAATGGAAGCCATTGAGAAAATGCCTCGGCCGAAAAATATAACGGAATTGCGTGCGTTTTTAGGATTAATTAATTATTACGGACGGTTCATTCAAAACTTAAGTGGAATACTTACGCCATTACATACGTTGTTACAAAAAGAGGGCGGCAAAGCTGTGAGTTTCAGATGGACACAGGAGTGCGAAGCAGCTTTCTTAGCGGCGAAAAGAGAATTTACGAGTAATAAAGTTTTGGCGCATTACAATCCCAAACACCCATTAATCGTAGCATGTGATGCAAGCATGTACGGAGTAGGAGCGGTCCTTTCGCAAAAGCACCCAGATGGATCAGAGCGGGTAATCCAGTATGCTTCGCAATCGTTGTCTCGAACACAGCAGAAGTATGCACAGATCGATAAAGAAGCGTATGCAATTATTTTCGCGATAAAAAAATTCTATCAGTATTTATACGGAAATCGTTTTACACTTTACACAGACCACCGTCCACTTACACAAATATTAGCACCAAACAAATCATTGCCGGTACATAGCGCGATGCGCATGCAACATTACAAAATTTTCTTACAAGCGTTCAATTACAACATCAAGTATAAAAATACGAAATTACATAGTAATGCAGATGGATTGTCGCGGTTACCAATTCAGTCAGAGGACGATTTCGAATACGACGTAGTAGATGAATACGAAATTAAATTAATAGAATCTTTTCCAGTCACATTTACAGAATTAGCAGCGGAAACGGAAAAAGATACAGAATTACAAAAGTTATCGCGGGCGTTACAATCAGGCAAAGAACTGAAGCCGAAAGAAAGATTCAATGTTCCACTTGCTGAATTTAGTTGCCAACGTGGCGCGATTTTACGAGACGGTAGAGTTTTGGTGCCGCGGAAATTACGAAAGAAAATTTTGCAAGAGTTGCATGAGGAACACTTCGGCATTATAAAAATGAAGGCAATGGCTAGAAGATATTGTTGGTGGCCGGGTATCGACAATGATTTAGAGAATGTAGCTAGAAACTGCGAAAATTGTAATTTAATTCGAAACGATCCGCCGAAAACACAAACACTTACGTGGAAGCCAGCAGAGCGAGCGTTCCAAAGAGTACATATTGATTACGCAGGCCCCTTTATGGGACATTACTTTTTTGTGTTAGTAGACGCGTTTTCAAAGTGGCCAGAGGTGCCCATTACGAAAAATATTACAAGTAATACAACGATCAAATGCTGTAGACAAATTTTTTCAACGTTTGGCATACCGGAGGTGGTAGTGTCAGACAATGGTCGACATTTTGTATCTAGCGAGTTCAAAAACTTTCTTAAATGTAATGGAGTAATACACAAAACTACAGCACCATTTCATCCAGCGACAAATGGGCAAGCGGAGAGATTCGTCCAAACCTTCAAGCAGATGTTAAGAAAAAAATTCAATAGTCTTTCGGCAAGTACAGAAGATTTACAGATAGCTTTGTACCAAATTCTATTACATTACAGAAATCTGCCTCATGTGTCGTTGGGTGAATCTCCAGCAGAGAAAATGCTAAAGCGTAATTTGCGGACTCGATTAGATTTATTGTTGCCAACACAAAGTGATACAAGCAATAATTGCGAGACTAAACCGTACGATAAGATTCGCGAAGTACATATCGGCGAACGAGTAGAATGCCGGAATTATTACGGCAAACAAAAATGGATTTTCGGTAACGTGCAACAAAGACTCGGTCATGCACATTATATCATTCGTTTAGATAATGGTAAATGTTGGAAAAGACACATTAATCAAATTCAGAAAATAGGCGAGTGTCCAATTAGAGATACGTATAATATGAGCGACGATATGTTCGACTACGAAACCCCAAATGTAAATCAAACACCTGTTATTAATTCGAAAAATGTAAATGTAGACAAGAATGCGAGAATGGTAAAAGAAACCCCAGCGCCAATAAAGGTGGATAATACACCACGGAGATCAGTGCGGGAAAAGAAAGTTCCAACGCGTTATGGGGAATCAAGTTCATAAATAAAAAAAAAAGAGAACAACGTCATTAACACATATACATGTAGATTTTTTTTTTTGTTTGTGGTTATGATTTTTTTTTTCCTTAAGAGAGGGAAGAGTGTTACATAGTTACATGTCTTTTCAAAATAAGCGCGTAAGCATGACATCGCGTTTAGGATAGGAGAGCAAGTGGTATGGCGGGGGTGACAATGTGCGATGTATATATACACGCGTATCGGCGGATTCGCTCTCTTGTATCCTCTCGGGCACAGCGTAAGAAACACACACACAGATAGCTGAGTTATACGAACCACAGGAAATAAAGCGATTGTAAATTTAGTGTATACGTGGCAGTTACTTATTGAACCCCTTTTCCAAGCGGGAATACAACACAAATTATTTAATTTATTGATATGTTAGCAAAGCGATATTTGTATTGATAAAGACTGTCGTATAGTTGAAACGTTTACTAATTATCATTTGTATTATTTTTATGACGTAGAATAAAAAATTTTTAACACCTAATCAATTAGCTCGTTAAGTTGGCCTTTTAATTTTGATACTTATAAAATAATTTCTTTGCTAGTAGTAAGAATAACTGAAGAAAAAACATAAATAAGGAACGAGGAAAGAAAATATGCATAACGTCGCGACTCCTATGGGAATATAAAAAAACAATGAAACAAAAATAAAAACCCAAAAAGTCAAAAAAATAAAATTGCAAGAAAACTAAAAAAAAATTAAAAACCAATATAAAAATATAAAGCAATAATAAGAATACTAAAATATACTAAGAATACTAAAACAATAATAAGAATACTAAAAAATAAAAATTGAAATATTAAAATAAAATTTTTAATAAAAAAACGAAACGAAATATTTATGAAATAAAATTATACAAAACTAAAATAAAAAAAATAAGAAAAAATAAAAACAAAAAAGCCTTTCAAATATTTAAATAATGCGTATTTATAAGTATTAAAAATAATAATCAACTACAAATTAAATTTTTTTGCTAATAATAAGAGAATTAATCAAAAACATAAGTAAGAAACATAAGTAAGAACATGGAAAAAAATGCAGAAAGAAATACACCATTTTATAATTGCATATAGTCTATCATTTTACGAAGAATTTTTATGAACAATGCAGTTTATCTACTTTGACTACGCAATGTATGTTAATTTTATTAAACAATTTTTTTGATTAATTCTAATAATATTGCATAATGTTCGATTTGACGATCAAATTTTTTAAATTCCAATATTATATAGACAAATGCCTGATTAATTTATAATGTATATTGTAAAACATAAATCATTTTTAAGTAAATAGAATTATTAAGTATAAAAAATATACTATTATAATGTTATTTAAATTATAAATGATAAATTGAAATAACCATTGTAAATACTAATGTAATATAATAAATGTATATTGTATTATTTAATATTAAATAATTTACAGTATAAAAAAGAGTTGTGTATAATGTTAGTATATAAGCTATGTTATTCGTATTTCTATTTTTTTAATTAAAATATCTTATTTTTTAAGCTTATTTTTTCAAAAACAGTAATACGGTTATGAACTTTTGTCTTCTTATAATCATTTAATTACATTTCTCTGTGACTTATATTTTATAATATTGTGTAGAACAACTCGATTAAGAGAGGTAGCATAATATTTTTTTATAAATGTCATAATCGGAAAAATATAATAAATGAGTTTTGCACAAAAATGTATAAAATAATATCTCATCTTCAATAACTAAATTTTAACCGTTGTATTTTCAGCTGTTTATCAATATGATTTGTCATCAGAATTATATGTCACTAGTAAATCATGTTTAGATCCAAAAAACGGATAACAAAGAATTTTGCTGTTGCGAAATTAAACTCAATTCAAATTTTGTCATTATGTTGTTTTATGACAAATTAATCTGAACTTTAGAAAAAAAATATTTATTATCATTTATCATTATAGAAACACTTTTTTAGAAAAAACAAAATAATTTTATTAGCATTTATCGTTATATACATATCGTATGCAAAATTAACATTTATTGCGTTTCTTTTTTTACATTTATTAAATATTTAATTTAACAAAACGAAAATATCGATTTTAAAAATCATTAAGGAAAAAATGAATCAAATAAAGCTTATACAAGTTGTTTTCAATTTTTAATTTGTTATATGTCAAAAATAAGAAAAGGTTGCTGTTATAATTTACTTCAAATTTTTTACGGTAATTGCAAAGACGAAAATAATGTAGGTTTAAAAGGAAGAGGGATTGAAGATGCAAAGACGAAAATAATGTTAGAAGTAAAAAGAAGAGGAATTGAAAATTTTCCTAATGTTTTCTTAAAAACTGAATAAAATAACTTTTAAAAATGAATAAAATAACTTTTAAAAAATGAAAACTCTGCCAACGCATATTTTTATATGCATATATTTCGAAAGAAATGTCTAAATATCATGTATTTAACTCACTTTATTGGTGGAATCAGCCGTTACTTTAATCAAAAGTATATCGTTCACTCGTGACCTTACCTCTTCAAATGATTCTCGAAAACTGAAGGTGTTCGTGGTATGATAACATATGAAATATATAATGTCATGTAAATAGCTCCACAGAACACGTGTCTTATTCGTACATTTAATCGATAATAACCGATACATGGGTATAAATTATTCCTAAGAGATACTTTTATATTTAAAATAATTTTTCTGAAAAAGCACTTAAAAAATCTAATTGGGTAATTGTATGTTCTAAGAAATGCAAAATTGTAATACTGTTTTATATGTTCCTCTGATTTATATGCGAAATTATTTTCTTGCCATAATTAACTAACAACAGCTCTACCAGTATTACCAACTGCACTTAAACCATTATAATCAGCTGCACGCGGGTTATTACTCGTCGCAAAGCTCCAACCTACCCTTCCCGGGAATGCAGAGATACGGCATGCAGTCTGGCGGAGGAGATCTGATGCTCCTGCTCCAAGAGCGACGCCGCAATATTTCGCAAACTTTTCGCAAGAAAAAGATAAAGTTTTTTTATTTTTGTACAAACTCTCTATAGAGATATAATTTAGATTAGATCGTAAATTCATTTATTCATTCTTATATAGGCTTGCAAAAATTGTATTTAATTGTAATTAAATTTCATCTGAGAAATTAAATATCTCATGATTCGTACTCATATACTGAAAAGAAGTTTGTTAAATTAATAAATATTTAGTTCATTAACGGGTGGCACGTTAAGTCTGGAATACCCTGTATAAATATATTGCGTCTTTAGATAATCTCTTTTAGAAATTGTTAAAATTTGTGCACTTTACTTAATCACTTAATTTCTTTAAAAAATAATATTGTTTTTAAACTTAAGCAGGACCATCTAGTTCTTAATGCCCTAAAACATTTATATTTTTAAATTCAATATGTGTTTGAAGCTAAATTGGTGATTCACAATATAATTTCTCTAATTTCATATTATCTTGACTTTTTCCTTGTTTCTAACATTATCTTATTAAAAATACGCATATTAAATACTTAATTATAATCGAAGAATATGTTCAAAGATTTTAATTTAATTTTTTTTAACTTCCAAAATTTTACCTCCCTCTTTAATAAATATAAAGAAAAATATAATTTATTCATTTACACATTTTGATCTTATTTTATCTTATTTGATTATTAAAAAATTGTAATATAAAAGAAAAAGTAAAGAAACCATATACATGAGAAGAAAAATAGTTTAAAAGAAGTGTTTTTGAAATACAGAAAAATTGAGATAAAAAAATATATATGTATATAAAAAAAATTTGTGTGACAACATTATTCAAATGTATTATACATATATTTAAAACGAAATAAAAGAATTTTTTAGAAAATACAAAATAAACATACGTAAATAAAATTTCGGATTACAATTCATATTACATTTAATCTCGTTATTATAATATTTGTTATTTTACAATAGAATTAAAATAATTCATATATATAACATTATAAATGTGTTAACATTAAAATAATAATAATCGTCAAAAAAAAAGTAATACCAATATTATTACTAATATTAATATTAATACTAATATTAATATTAATATTAATATTTATTATTACATTAAATGTACTACGGTATATATATATATATATATATATATATATATATATGTATGTATAAACAGTTTGTTACTTGAAATATTGTTGATGTATTTGTTGAAATTAAATTTTTAGCGATATAGTTAGATGTATTAAGGCTTCGCAATCTTTGCATACATATCTTCATAAAATTTTACCTGACTTAACAGTTTTTCAGAACGTGCCTTTAACTTGTTTTTAACACTCAAATAAGTTGCTGATTATGGATTGCAAATTTTTGTATCTAAAATAAATTTTATTTTTTACTAAGCAGTAATTTTATAATTAATCATTTTATAAAAAAAAATTGCGACAATTTTTTAAACTATTAGTATAATTATATTAATATATACATACGTATATATTATATATATGCGACTGTATATATATGTATGCATGAGATATTTGATATATTTTCAAATTTACCTCATCAAGTTGCTTCTGGGAATATGCATTGTTAATCATTACAATTAATGCTGCATTTATAGTACTTACTTTATATGTAAAAAAAATATGAAAAGATTTATAATAGGCAAATTTAAATAATAAATTTTTAAGATAGTAAGCATATATATATATATATATACATATTTATATAAAATAAAAGCTTACGGCGGGAGATCCATATTTATATTCGAATATAGGTCATCAAATATTATATTATAATTATACATTATTTTTTAAAGTATTGCTTTGTTCTTATCATGTCTCGCAATAGTAGAAAAATATTAAATAACAAAATATGAATTTTACGTCGTTTTACTTCTGTTGATATTTTATTACTCTTAAAAAACGAATGTACAAATGATGATAAGTGAGACTCCAGGTAATTAAGGATAATTTTAGGATTTTTGGAACAACCAAGAAATTTTAATATTTTATAATCAGATTTCTCTCTATATATATTAATTACTGAGAAAGATATTTTAATCCATACACTTGTATTCATTTTTAATAAACCGTTACAAAATGTCCATTTCTGCAATCCAGATAAAATTCTACGACGTACAGAAAAGAAATTTTTTTTTATTTAACGTATTTACTATACTATATCAATAATTAGCATATAATATTTAAAAACATAAAATAAATATAATCAAATATTATAATTATATTAAACATAAATAATATAAATATAAATAATGATAATAAATATAAGTGATAATAATAATAATAATAATAATCAATTCGATTTATTTTAATGGCACAACTTTAAGTGTTTTTATAAAAATACATTTATTGTAACATTTGCATAAAGAATTGTCAGAGTAAAATAGCC